GGCTCGGACCCTGGTGTTGCATTCAGACGCATCTGCCATAAGGAGGCTTGGTAAGCATCCAATGGATCCATGATGCTTCAGGGATCGTATCCTGCCTGCCCACTCTTGTCATGGTCTCGGTATACTCGACTACGACTGCTACTCATACTACTCCTTCTCGTACTACTCCTACTACTCCTGCTATCCCCACTCCCACTCCTACTCCAGCTCCTACTACTACTACTACCACCACTACTACCACTACTACTACCACTGCACCGAGCTGGCGCCGCCGTCAACATGTCGTCGAACTATGTCTGTCTGCGCGTAGCGGCTCAAGCTGACACCATTTATTGGAGAAAATCCTGGTGTTGAGGCTTGCGTTGGCTGACCCTGGCTGCCCCGGCTTCTGGCGCTGGTAACGCCCCACTCCCCCCTCCCAACCCCCAACCCCTCAAGGAATTCAAGTGCAAGACGTCCCACGGCACTGAGGGAACGTGACGCCACCTACCTAGTACCAGTACTACGACTGCTACAACAACTACATTACTAACCTCAAGCTCGAACAAGCTTTCTGCTGCTCTCTCGGTGTTCGTAAAGATGTACCACTCAGACCTGCTCCAGCTCCAGGTCACCCTTGCTAGCTGCAGAAGACCACGACAGCCCAGGTCACGGGACTGCAAGGAAGACTGAAACATCCATGAGCTTGAAACATCCCGTACTTGGGAGCGGTTGGGTCGGCTTGCTGTCTCTCTTGCTGTATGATTTTGGATCCAGTGCTCATGGCTCAACTGGCGTCCACGAGCATTCCTGCAGTGCTTAGTCAGCGCAGATCAGCTCTGGTTGAGATTCGATGCTGTTTTGACGTATTATATATATATATGTGTACACTTATAATTTAAGTTACTGTTTGATATTCTAGTATGTATATCTATATATACATATGCAAAACAAACATTTTTTGTTCTGTCGGCTCACAAGGTGAGGATCCAGCAGATCACGGATATGCTGGAAGCTCAGCGCTTCCCCTCGCTCGGGGCTTTGGGGAGGGCAAGTCGTAAGTCGAGCTATAAGGGGCATGTGTAACAGGGCTTCGCGGCAGAAGATGTACAGATGTGTAGAGATGTGTACAGTACGCGAGGGAACGAAGAGCGACAGCGCCAGACTAGTCCAGCAGGCCGGCATCAGCCAAAGCTTAGTATGTTTTTTCTTATATTCCCATGGTTCCAGTGCCCATGCAACGACACACCAACACACAGCCCAGATGCTGATCATTGTCATTTACTGGGAAAATGCACTGTTTCCAGGCGCTCCTCGACAGCAGCAGCGGTGATGCTGCCTTGGAACAAGCGCCTATGGAGCCTGCACAGGACTTTACCTTTGGGTCCCGGGGATTCCGGGAAGGTGCCCGGTTGACACGGTAAGATGTCAGCTGTGGTCTATGCTACATCTCTGCTAAAGGTCCCTCGCTATGCCTTGACTGCAGGAGAAATTGCCGGCGCCATCCCAGACAGCGGGTGAGGCCCGAAAGTCTATCGCACTTCAAGACTTGAGACCTTGCCTTGCTACCCCATGAAAGTCCTCTAGAGCTCTCACACACTTAGTGGAGTGGCAAAGCGTGTATAGATGTGTATAGCAACAGCCTCAAGCATCGGAACCCAATGGCGTCAGCTGTTGGCCCTGCAGGGCTGATCTATCATTTTGGCTGCTCGCTAATTGCTTGTCCAGTTTGAACTCCGAAAGACAGCACTTTCTTCTGAGCTCCCTGAGCGAAGATGAGCTACAACCTCTTGAGTGAGTATGTTTTCTCGAGGCTCTACCATTTTTTCGGTCATATGTTTGAATGGCCAGTGCCGAGGGCTCAACGGCTTTCGCCATAGAACGGCAGTAAAAACCGACTGATTCCCAGCCTGGAGCGCATAGTGCTGGTGGGAGCTAATTGTGCATGTATCCAGTCTCGTTTATTCTTTCAAGTTGGTTTAGACACTCTTGGGGGGTCATGCACAAATTTGACTGGACTCAACATCTTGGCTTCGCCAGAACAAGTTAGCTAGGACTTAAGCTCGAGATCTCAAGAAATTACCGAAGCGTGCTAGATGATGTGGAAAGGCACTGACAGGTATGTGATGGCACAATCAATAGACACCTTGGCTATGTTAATATATATATATATTGTTATTATTATTAGTATTATTATTAGTATTATTTTTTTATTATTATTATTATCATGAATATATATATATATATATATAGTATCTATGTATATGAAACGAGCACCGCCAAAAAAGAGGAAATAATAACTATGAGACCACGGGCGCAAAACTGTACCAGCAGCTGACCTTCCTTGTTTGAGGCTGAAAATGCGTCGGCTCTGCGAACCGCGACACAAGTCTAGTGTTGAGACACACAAAAGTTTCGGAACAGTGATTTACCTAGGCATTGAACCGATTCTTAGGTGCAACTATGAACCCATCGAGCAAAAAGTTTCTGGCCTATCGTGGCCATGAAAGAATTCAAGCCTCTAAATTATCCGGGTTCCACCTAGGGAAAGGTTAGGTGCCCGTCGGCCAGGTGCCCATTTAATCGTGAAGCCATCTAACCAATCAGTGCTGCCAATGCGTCTCCATTCCTAAATTCCAGACCTGGGTGGGAATAAAGGCGTGAGAACAAAGATTCAAGTGTCTATTGGTTGAAGTTTCCCAAGAAAGATTTTGCGACCAGCCTTTAGCCCCTGAATGTTGAGTTGAATCAAAAGTCCTGGGGTTCAGAGAGACCCAGGACAAGGTTTAGGAGGAATCTTCAACCCTGAATTTCTAAACCTTCAATATCCATGGACTTGAAGGTTCCTCGTATTTTGTCCTGGGAATCTGCAATCGCTAGCCCCAACATCTGGAAGAACAAGTTGACTGTGTATTCAAGTTTCATTCAAAGCCAGGGTCTACGGGTTGAAGATTGGAGGTGTTTTTCCTCAATCTTCGATCTTCAATCGTTAGGCCTTGAGTAGAATTTGGAAACTATATCTGTATATTTATGTGTATATATATATATAGATGCACCATTCTATTGATTGTACGAGTCGATGGCAACCGCCCAAATGGTCCCAGAGGCAGCCAGATTGAGGTACAACCTTGATCTTGCACCTGTCCCTTCCGCCCTGCATTTTATCATGGCGCATGTTCCAATACTTCATGTTGACATCAATGGCCAAGTGCTCTGCCTTGACTACGGGGCTGAGAAGCGTGATGGTCGCAAGTCAAGGAACTCTGAGCCCGCTGGCTTTGAGTCCAGGCGAAAGCCAGCTGCAAGGGCAGGGCGTCCAGATTTCATCCGAAACCTCCGGGCTTAAGCAGGAGACGGGAGACACTGCCATGCTTTTAAGTTGGCTGATGATCGCCCCAATGGAACAGACTTCTCCCTAAGCTTGCCCTGAAGAGTCGAGCAATAGAAACGTTGAGATTCCTGGCACCGCGGTTTTGCGTAGCCGCACAGCCATCCGATCCCCAAGGCAAGCACCTAAGTACTGCCAGGTACCGGGCAACAACCTGCAATTGGGGGTCATAACATGTCAAAGCCATCCCATTCCCGGAACCTGTGGACTGCGAATCTTAAAGCGACCAACGGCGCTGACTACTCTGCCTCAGTCTCAATAGAGCCAGCTGCAACTCGCGCATCTTGACGTAAGATCCTTGTCATTCATCTCAAAGCGCAGGTTGGAGAAGCTGCCCCCGCTCAAGGCGATGGGGAGGTTGCAGTGGCCGTACTGGTTTCGGCGCTCTCTAAGCTGGGCCTTAAGACCTGAGCCGGACAGGACGAGAGCTCTGCACATGGTCCCGACTCGTTGAACGCATGAGAATCTTTAAGAAGTGAGGCGCCGAGTGCAACTAGTCCCTGCCACTTGCAGGGTCGAGCATCCCGTTGCCGAAGGCGAGCTTGATCTTCGAGGCGATGATAAGAAAGGGACATGAACCTATGTGAGCAAGCAGGGTAGTCAGTGCAAAGACATGGCAACAATACAGCGTGCGTGGCGATGGGAGGTTTGTGATGAACGTAGAAGTTGTCTGATTTCTTTTCTCTAGATTCATCTTCAGTTCTCAATGTTGCAGCATGCTCAGGTCTGGGGCTTGGCTAGGCACATTGATTGCTCTCTGCCTTGATCGGCAGGATTCGAAGCTGCCCAGCTGGGCAGCTGCTATTTGTAGGCCCACGTGCCCACTGTGTGTTCTGTGTTGCGCTGGTGAAAGTATAGGCAGCTCAAGGGAAGCACAAAAGAACGTCACCGGCGATGGGCACGTTCCACGAAGGTGCGATGTCTCAGTTAAAGAGGCTACTGTACCCGACTGTACCCGCAAGCCGTTTCCAGGCTCGAGCGCACCATCAAGGCGCAACACAACGAAGGCCCAAAGCTCTAAACGTAGAGGCCGATTTCACCCTGTAGCTAAAGTTTAAACCAGGGTACCCACAGATGCCGATGGCATGACCCGGGAACAGGACCAGCACTATGGCATGTGTGGTTAGGAAGTCAGCTAGGCATAGAGTTTAAATGACAAATGAGATTAATCTCTGTGCAGTGAGAAGTCGGTACAGTCCATTTTCCTTGTCCCAGCGGCTGATCTGGCCGAGGGCAGTCCTCCGGGAAAGGTACCCTGCTGCCTCCCCAAGCCGTGCTTGCTGGCGGACCTACACACTGCGCCGCAGCTGCGACTTGACAAGCACATGTGCATGAGCAGCGCTGCGCCGGGGCTTCCGGGGCAGCCATCAGTCACAGCCTCTGCGAACCAGGCCTCATGGGATCCGGTGCGGGTTCACTTCACCGGTCAGACACGAAAGACAGACGCTTGTCCTGCACCAGCTCTTGCAGTTACAAACTGGAACGTCGCACGCTATCAATTGGAAGCTTGGCCGGCCCTTATCCGTAACAAGCGCACAGCCCAAAGGAGTAAGCTTGTACTTATTCGGCCGCAATAAGGCAAGAAAAAGGCTAAACCCTCCATCGATCCTGACCAAAGCCACCCGACGAAGGCATGGGGAAGGAAGACGGAGCATGGCCACGTCCCTTCCGCCTCTCGGTGTGAGTTCCACAAAAACGTGAATCTCTTCAAATTTCGGTGCCAGAATTTCATGCGTCAGCTTGACCTTAAAACATAGTCATAGGTCCCACTCTGAATTTAAGAATGTTGCGAAGGCAACGTCCACGGCGGGTTTCCAGACTTTCTCGATGGAGTCGTGCCAAGCACCATCACCCACTAAAAATAGATCAATAGAAGCAGCCACAGACTTGGACCCTCTCGAAGCCCTGGAACCCCCCCCGAGCCCTGAGCTGAGGCGACTGGCTGGCCTGGGTAAAAGGGGAGAAGGGGATCATGGAGTTCAAGCCAACGGTGGACTTCTTGCTTCTCTGCTACAACTTAACTAGATACACGTGGGTACATTGTGAGCACAAGGGCAATCGAGAGGACACACCTTCCGTATATAAAGCCGTACATCCGTCTCTGCACTGAAGCAGCTGTTGAGCGAATGCTGGTGAATGTGCTGCAGGAAGATCTTGTCATCTCCAAATACCAGCCTCCAGTATTATCTGCAGACTATTATTGCAGAGGTCATGCGTCACTCGGCTTCTCTGACGGATCCTCTGTTCTGCTGTGAAATAGCGCGAGGATGCTGATGGTTTACTTCGGTTCACATGGAGTCCTTGTAGGCATACCTCTCGAAACCATCTTGCAATCCTCCCAACAAGCTCCAATGCTTCGACAGAAGGTGTCCTTAACGCCGACCGTTGTTCCATCTTCTTCGTGGATGACATGCGAAAAGAGGTTTGGTGCGTCGGCTCGCTCGACATGGCATCTTGGTTGAAGTTTCATGGGAAGATGTGAGAAGTGTGGCGCCCTGATGCCAGCTGCATGCCTCTAGACGCCAAGGAGCCGTTCTGTCAGCCCTGGGACAAGGGCATCGTGGGCATGGTCGCAACCGAGGGGAAGATGGTCAACCTAGCAGGCGTGAGCTTCTTTGGCGTCGGAAGTCACATGGAGGGTCGTTCATTGAGAAAAGAATATGTGCTCAGATTCTCAGACCATCGCTAGGCCTGCGTCTTTGGTTGAAGCTGCATGAGAGGTCGAGAAGCCACACCTATCCGACCTAGATTGGCCCTTGCCTGCCAGATGCTCATGACCATCCAGCGTTCGATGGTGAGATCGAGAAGAAGACGGGCTACACTGCGGGCTTCTGAGCTCTTGCACATCTAGCCGAGCTCATCGACAACATGATCCTCCAGATTTTTTGTAGAGCTTGCTTTGAGGTCAAAGGGATCTTGTCCCTGCCCGTGAAGAGTCGCCGGGCCGAATACTGTCAAGTATCATGGCTTTTGGCCACTTGCTACCCAGTACCAACTGTCATCAGCACAGTCCTCGGGCTCAATACTGCAAACACACCACAAGTGGCGTGCACACATCCGGCTTTGCAGTCTTGTACTGGGCCGAGTTCTGCCTGTTTTTCTGTGGTGCTTGCAGTTTCCAGGCATCCAGAAGTATGTTCAGACCCAGACGTTTGCGTCCAGGCGTACTGAACTTGGACAAGGCCATCGGCGTCATCCAAGCCTTGCGCTGAGCTGATCTGAAACAACACCTGTAAGTTCGCGGTTGTTGAAGCCTTTGTCAGCGGGTTGGCAAATGTTCAAATGTTAATTGGGCAACTGTTCATTGTGCTTAAGATTGAATGGCGAACCGCCCAAAGAATCCAACTCTGAGCTGCTTCAGAGCTACATGAAATGCCTGTGCTCGGATACCCTGTGTTGCTCGAAGGTCCTGAACAAGCGCAGCTCGCCCAAGGGAGAGCTGCCTGGCTGTGGATCAATTTCCCGGCTCATTCTCCAACAGAGTGATGGCCATCACATGCCATAGACCAGTCCGGCTTGCTTGCGGCTTAAGGCTGGGCCCGGCATTCTTGGGTCGGTGGGCACTAAGGTTTTCGGAGCAAGATGCGGTGGAACTGCAGAAGCTTGCGAACCCTGACTTGGTCTCTGAGAATCTGAGAATTCGTGTGTTCGGAAGAGGCCTCCGCAGTACTGCCGCCATCTTCTGCTTGGAAGCTCACACCAAGTCTGATTACACATGTTGGAGGGTCGTATATAAGAATTCAGAATCAGGATGGTCATCGGGGACTCTTTCTACCGACAGCGGTATAAGGCGCTCGAAGAGGTCACGGCAGCTTGGCAAGAGCAAGAGAGCCGAAGCGCATCGACAGCAGTTGCTTAAGGCTTAAGGAACGGGATGTAAGAGTCTTGTTTCATCATGTTACATCATCTGCACCGATGCGCGCAACTTTAAGGGCCACCAAGACTCCGAAGTGCAAGCTGTGCTGGACCAGCATCGGGAGAGGACTAGTCTCGAGGGTTACTTAGAGAGGTATCTTCTGCAGGATTTCTGAGAACTGCAGTCGGGCATGGGGCTTTCAGACATTTGCGGAACATGATCTGCTGAGCGCAGGATGTACTTGGACCGCCAGCAATCTCCAGCCATGACTCTTGACTGCAAGCGCAACCACCGCCCCACACCCCCACCACATTCACCACATGCGATCAAGCATGACATCAGTTCCTGCCTGTGGCTAGCGCTAGAGTAGTGACCCTGGCAAGAGGATTATGGCCTCAATTGCGATGCATTGCATCCAGGAGCACTCCGCCCGAAATCCTGCGGTCGCTCAGCCGACAGCCATTCCTCCGCGAGTGCTCGCCATTGACTCTCAGATGCGTTTGGACATGTGTGGGCCTTCTGACACAAGAGACATCTTCCCGCGTCGTACAATGGCGTAGTGACATAGTCTATAGTGCTGTTTTGCTGCAGCGTAAGCGTGTGCAGAATGCCGGGGCATCTTCCCGCATGTTCACAGCACAGCAAAGTTGCAAGTTCTGCCATCAGCCACTCAAACCCTACCAGTCGTGTCTGCTGTTGCCCATGTGAGAAGTTCCGACGTGCCAGAGAAGCAAGGCAAGTGGAAGATCTGGCTTCGCTCAATTTCGACGTTCTCGATCAGGCAGTGGCAGCGTTAGTGCCAGAATCTATAGACAGGTCAGGCTCATCCGCCTTGTCTTTATACATGACCTGATTTGAAGCAGTTTTTTTGTGTGCAGGAAGAGACCTTCCTCCAGGAGTTGGTGCTTGCCTAAGCCTGCTTAGACTTGGGTGGCTTTGTGGGTCACAACCAACAATTGACCGACTCAGCCCTGACCCATGTCGTATGAAGGCTGCTACCAGTTTCTTTGCCCCCTATACACGCAAAGGAAGGGATGCAAGCCCAGAGATCCACCTGTGCTCAAGCATAGCTCAGCCATGTGCACGGACTTCGTTACACATTCAAATGCGCATTCCTCACTATTGTTTAAGCACCGATCGCCCCCATTTCTGCCATCTTGTGCCAGACGACAGTTTCGAGAAGGATGGGTATGTTCGCTATACGCTTAAATCTGCGCACTCTTGCGAAGAATGAAACTCAATACGCCAGCTCAGCAGTGTATGTTACTCGAAGGAAATGCTGTGTTGCGAGTCCTGCAACTGCATCCTTGCCAAGCCGGGTCCAGGTTCCGGACATCTTCAGGCACGCTGGCTGCCACATGTCTGGAAAAGCTAGGAGTCCGTTGCCTGGTCATGTCTAAAAAAAGCGGCCAGGGGGGAGGTTGTGCAAAGTCGGCACGATCTGGGGCTTGGGACGGAGTACTCTGGCACAGTGTGTTCGTTCAAAATTTCGCGAACACGCCTGAGGATGGTTTGAAGTTTGCTTCTTCCGACTTTGAGAAGTTTAATTTGGCTCTGACCTGTGATCAAGCCAAGACCATCCAACAGACTGCATGCCCCGGGCTGCAAGGCATCGAAAACTGCAAAATTCCGGAGAAGCAGCTTCTGGCCTATCCGGAGGCTGTCTTTCGGGGCTACAGAAGCTTTGGTCAATGATGTCACGCCTGTCTGCTTTGTCATGCTTTTTCATTTTCAGCAAGTCAGCACGGGTCAGTTCTGCGTGGATAAGTCGTCACGTCTCCATTGCCTCCGCACATGCTCTGAGAGATTGAATTTTATTGGGACTACTGACCGGCATCCATGTAGTAGAGAGGCGCGTAGGCCCTCATACCTAAGGAAAGAATTCCTTCCACAACGCCTATCACGGCTTCGCCGTGTATCAGCAGCTGGGATGCACCCTGTCGTTCCACGAACTTGGAGCTTGAGGCTGCTGAACCCCTCTTCCCGCAAATGAGTAGCCGCTGCTGAATAGGTAAATCAATCCACAACAAGAATATGTGTGTGTGGCAGCCTCCGCATGCTTGCAAAGGATGTGCTTCCACCAGTTCAGCACCATAGACACGTTCAGCAAACTTACAGCGACGCAGGCCAGGGAAGATCGCGGAGTGATTGCATGATAATCTTCTGAGCCCTATACTATATTCACTGCACACCATAGTCAGGGTCAATGAGTTCTTGCTGCGACTCGGTGGTACAGTGTCCAGTTTCGGCCGACATGTCGAAATTCCGGAGAAGAGACCATTCATTGCCATTCGTAGTTTACCTGTACTTTTGTCTCTTCACTGTACCGGCTTATCAGCCTCCAAACAAGGGCCAGCCCCGCACAAGGTTTATTCGATGAAATTCCAACAATAGATGCTCATGAGTGTGCCTTTGGCGTTCCCTCATAGTTTGCATCGCGCACACGGGTCCGATGATACTCGCCCACCGCCCAGGGCTAGACTCAACAAAAGGCGCTCCAGGCTCACAGCGCGTGTTTGGAGCCCCCAGAGCCTGGCTGCGATTTCATGGAGGAGCTGGGGAGGATGGACCTGGGGAGGATGGACGAGCATGCGAGGGCGCGGGAAGGGCATCAGTGCTGGACGCCTACGTCTGCCCATGAGTCGGTATACAACTTCAGTTTTTGCCTGGATCGGAACAGTGCATTAGGCCATGAGTCCCGCTTTGAAAATGTACACCCCACCCAGTCAAACAGAAAAGAACCTTGTCTTCGAGGGCTTTGGTCTTTTGGTGGCGGCGCTGTGCCACGACATCGACCATCCAGGCCAGGAATGCGTTGTCAGACGAAGAGGTTTTCTGTGTCCCCTCTGTGTGCATAGTGCATCTGGGAGTGTCTTCTGGGCGAGAGATTGACACATAGCTCAAGGCTTTTTGGGAGAAGCGCAGCTTCAATCAAGAGTGCTTGAATGGCCACGTTCTCGACACCAACAACAGCACTTTCGAATTAACTCTGAGCGGTATGTCGAACTCCATGAACCTAACAACAAGAACTCGAACCAATAACATGGAAAATCCGTAAATCTACTAGGCTCACCTTCTATTCGCATAAGCCCAAAAGCTGTTTTCGCACCTCATTAGATTTTGCGCTGCTCGTCTTTCTCTGCTCACGACCTCAATGTTAGATAGGTTCCGTTGTGAAGGCAGGACTTGGTTGTTCAGGTATGTTTCGGTATGTTGATACCTACAGGTCATGATCGAATGGGCGTTGGATAGACAAGGGCTACTGAGGGGCCACTGGCTCGATTCAGGGAGATCAAAACCATGGGCATGAGGCTATACCGTCCTCTTTTGACATGGAAAGTCTGGAAAGTCTGCGGCAAGAAAGTCACACTGCGAAGCACATCTTGATAGTTCATTATTGGCTCACGTGTGGTGCCAAGCCTGCGCTCCAGGCTTCACGAACAGCTACTTGATCAGGTTTCCCGGCCGAGTACAAGTAGCTTCCATACTACTTCGGCTGGGGAGTGCTGTGCTTGGGCTAGTGTCGGGCTGTGCAGTCAGATGTACCGTCGCACCAGGGCCTTTTGGGCCCCCAATCTGGATATCTGCTTGCTTGCATCACGTTCGAGCCTTGAAGCGCAACGAAGCAGACGAAGCATAGGCATGAAGCCCTCCGCCGAAAACAGGAACTAAGTGAGGAACCTGCGGACATGTCTCAGGTTGCAAGACGACCTGGCCTTGCGCTATAATGACAATTCCGTGCTGGAGAACCACCATGCGCAGCACTCTCAGAACGCCACGAAAGCCTACACCCTAAAACCCTGTAAACATTGGTCGTGGCAGCAGTACAGCCGTTGTCGTCGTCGAGTAAATGTCTGCAAAACCAACAAATATGTGTACATGGTTTTCGTTTCGCCATCGACCGTGCTTTGTGTTTCCTTGGTGTTTATGTCTCGTTAATATTGTTTTAGCTCCGGTGAACAAGTAGGAATCTGACATCCTGCAGAGGCTGCAGAGACGTCCTGCAATCCGGCCCCAGAGAATACCACAACAACTCCCAACAGATGCGTGAAAACTCCGAAAGTGTTTATGTCCGTTACGCAGGTCTTTGTTTCTAGCACTTCTTGTCCGGCGTGCGTTTTGGCAGCGCATTAGGGTATACAACACATAGGGTACACTAAGTTTTCTAGCTTCCATTAACCACGGCCTTGGCGTCCCCTACTTGGAAGTTTGAACCTGAAGACCCATTCGTTCCCGAGCCATGAGCCCGAAAACAGGGCATTTGTTTGTCACGGGGAGCAGCAGCGGGCGGACGGTCTCTGATTCCTTGGTTTCTTATACAGTGGTTTCACAGTAGCACCCTTTCTACTGTGGATCGCCCTGGGCGGCCCCACCCCCCCTCCCTCCAACAGTTGGACATCCCCACGCCGTCGACTTTGTATGGAGACCCTGCGCTGACCCGCCAACATGTCGCTCCCAAATCCGCAAACTTGTCTTCTTGGCCGACCTCCCTGTAGTACCTTTCCAGCACATCTAACCCAATTCTTTCAGTTCGCTCGTGCCATCCAACAGGCTGGAACAACATATGTCGGAATCACACCATGCTGGTCATGCAGTCTAAAGGCCCTTTGACTCACCTTCGGCCCGACCGCTGCCATTCCGTGCAATCGCGTATAAGGTCTGTGGCCTGCACCTTGCTTCGCGATGAGAAGACGGCCATAGGCCTGGAAACTGAACCCAAACATTTGTCAGCCTTGTATGAGGATTTCCACGACCCGCAAGCCCTGCAAAACCATCATCCTGAGTAGGCAGCGGCTTAGCCAAAGACGAGCAGGCGCAGGGGGTCTTGCGCACCTGACGGGAGGTCACAGGAGACACGTTTGTTCGGGCCAGACTTTGGCTTGCCCGGCCTTGTGCTTTGTGGGGCGCATCTGGCAATCTTCAAGACATAACGGCCCGAATGTTTGTCTGGCGAAAGCCTCCAGCTTGTTAGGTGGTGTTTCGCAAGACCATCATCAAGTGCATCTTAGCCACGGCAGCCTGGATCAAGCCCCCAGAGCTCTCGGTTGAAGTGCAGTGTGGTGCAGTAGTGAAGCAAGCTCAGGACATGGCGCACCATCAGGGCCTTTGCCAGCGCCTCATAGGCCGAGCCGGGGTGACAAACCAAACGCGTCAAAGCAAATCGGAGTTCCGGATATGGCTTAGATTAGATGGGGTATGATGGGGTTTTAAGCTTCGGGTTCATAAACTGCTCACGCTGCAGCAGGGCCATCCTGGTGTTTGCGGACAGCTAATTGAGGATACTTCGCCACAGGCATCTGTCGCGGACTGTTTGGGTGGGCACTCCAGGATACTTGGCGGGACTCTCTGTGGGCTTCTCTGGGGGAGGCCAGGAGACTGGTGCCCCCCCCTCTCCCCCGCCCCCTCGACTGTGGCAACAAAAAACTTTTTTGTTGGGTAATTGTTATTGTTATGATAATTAGTAGCATTTTTATTCTCACTATCATTGTTATTAATTGCTAAGTGACATTTTGAGAGCATCTTGTCGAGGCTGCCACAGCGCCGACGACTTCAAGGCAACAGCTGAGGAAGACCCTCAGTTTCTGATGCCCCCCGGCTCAGACTGCATTTGTGAGGTCGTTGCAAATGAGGGCCCATGGAGGATTTAGGGCTAGGGTTTACGAGGTTGTTCTAGATTAGGTTCATTTTTGTCGTGGGGCTGGGGCTGTTTTAATTCAAGATGAAGAGAAGAACATTTTGCAGAGTCGGGGACGCTCCAGGAAGCGCAACGGCCCCCCAGAAATTGCGGGTAGGGGTCAGGGGCCGGTTTGGGGGGATGGGGAGAAGGGAAGGCGATGTTTTTAATGGTCAGTCTCAAATGCCCTGGTCCTGTCCTGATGCACGCACACTGTCGGCTGGTACATAAAGCGGAAGTTTACCTGTGCTACTCGTACCCAGACACCCACGTCCCGAGGCCTCAATAAGGAATCTTATTGCTGGAGGTACTCATACCACGATCCGAGATGTTAGGGCGGGCTGATTTGGAATTACATGCCACCTGTCTCGTCAGGAATGTCTGCGTTCATGCATCTGTGCCTCAGCTGCGATTGTTTTTGGCTTGACACCGTCTCGTACCTCCGAAAGCTCCGTCATGCTTCGTGAAGATGTGATGGCCATTCTCGGCCCCTGAGGATCTGTCCGCCCAGGCGCTGGACTGGGAGGTTCGACAAGCTGCGAACATTCCCAGCATGTTCTTCAGCCTGACAACCTGCATCCTCCATCCACCGAGTCTAACCCGCAAGGTGGCCAAGTCTGGCCACTCATACCCCGCAAGGTGGCCAAGAAGTGGGAAGAAAGAATATGCCAAGAGCTGCCCAGATGAAGCTTATGCATTCGTTTTTTCTGGCTAATCAGAACGGCTTCCATCGCTCTGGTTGACAGGAAACTCGTGCGAGTATGTTGATGAGGGGCCCTTGTGGTGGCGTTTTCGCAGAGTGAGGGCAAGTATAGCGGCGTAGCACACCAGTGAGATGTTGATGCCATTGAGCAAGCGAAGCTTTCTTTGCAGTACAGCTGCGCTATAGTTGGCAGAGCTTTCGCTTCTAAGGTTTGTGGCACAAGCAGCGAAGGACCGACTTTGCAGCGAACGTGTCGCTACGGAAATACAGTACCACGGCTCATAGGGCAGACTCCTTCGTTCGAATTCTGAAGAGTTGATTCCTGAAATGAGATCACTGCGCCCAGCAGGGAATCATAGTTCAGCATCCCGCCGCGTTCACAGAATTCATGGGCGTCTTTGGCATAAACTATAAGGAATCGGTTGTACTGTAATCGAGACCCCAAAACTCAAACAAAATTTGGGTCAACCCAACCCCCCCCAACCCCCCCCCCAACCCCCCCCCACCCCCCCCCCCACCCCCCCCCCCCCCCCCCCCCCAACCCCCCCCCCAACCAACCCCCCCCCCCAACCCCCCCCCCCCCCCCCCCCCCCCCCCCCACCCCCGTAAGATGGACACTTAAAGGCTATGCTGCACGTGCGTGCCTTGTAAACAAATACTTTACAAAGGAAACGCCCGCAGAATAGACGCAACGCACCCGCAGAATAGACGCAAGCACCCTGTCAGCGCACTGTGTCCTGGCGCGGAGGGCGCGGAGGGGCGCGGAGGGCGCGGAGGGCGCGGAAGGCGCGGAGGGCGCGGAGGGCGCGGAGGGCGGGGAGCGCGCGGAGGGCGCGGAGGGGTGCGGAGGGCGGGAAGGGCGCGGAAGGGGCGGAGGTCGCGGAGGCGCGGTGCGGAGAGCGCGGAGCGCGCGGAGGGCGCGGAGGGCGCGGAGGCGCGCGCGAGCCGAGCGCGGAGGGCGCGGAGGCGGAGGGCGCGGAGGGTGCGGAGGGCGCGTAGCGCGCGAGGGCGAGGGCGCGGAGGGCGCGAGGGCGGGGGCGCGGAGGGCGCGGAGGGTGCGGAGGGCGCGGAGGGCCGCGGAGGGCGCGGAGGGCGCGGAGGGAGGGCGCGGAGGGCGCGGAGGGCGCGGGAGCGCGCGGAGGGCGCGGAGGGCACGGAGGGCGCGGAGCGTGCAGAGGGCGGAAAGGCGCGGAGGGCGCGCGGCATCGTGTCCCCATATCCCCTGCCCATCAACCGAATGTCACTCTCCCCTTCCGCGCCGAACCCGTCCGTCAACCTCCATGCATGGTCCACGCCTCCCCACATCTCCAGCAAAATGTTCCGAACCCCCTTTCCGTCCGACCCTCCAAGGAGCGATCCGATAGAACGCCTTCCGCATTGAAGCGCCAAACGAGAACCCAATTTCAGAATTGGTTTTCGGGGAAAAATCCAAGAAAACAAAGAGCACGCGCAGAATAGACGTTAAGCGTCCAAGGCACCCCCAACCCCCCCCCCCCAACCCCCCCCCCCCACCCCCCCCCCCCCCCCCCCAACCCCCCCCCCCCCCCCCAACCCCCCCCCTCCAACCCCCCCCCCCCCAACCCCCCCAAACCCCCGCCCCCCTCAAGCCCCCTCAACCCCCTCAACCTCCTCAACCCCCTCCCTCAACCCCCTCAACCCCCTCAACCCCCTCAACCCCCCTCAACCCTCCAAACCCCCAACCCCCCCCCCCCCTTTTCCCTTGTCCAGCCACCTCAACCCACACCTTTGTCCCTCTTTATTCACACCCTGTTCTTAGTCGTGTCCCTGACGTGCTTTTCTTGCGGCACTGGCATGTGATCATCCATCTAGTTCACTCCCATCATTTCCGTGCCTGTCAGCTACACTACTCAAAATGAATCTTTGCCGAAACCAGACCTGGGCCAAATATATTACTGGCCCCGGCCAGCTTCTAGATCGGGTTTGTGAGATCTTCAACGTCCGGTGCATCGAGTACACACCGACAATGCATGAAGGGCCGCCAGAAGAGAAGCCTCTTTTCCGCAGGAAGTGGAGATGGGTTTCACACCGGAGCCCTTCATGCAGTTCAAAATGGAGGACAGGGCTGCAAAACGGTTGCGAGTCGATGACAACCCACGAAACGGGTGAGGACATGAAGCAGCGGGGCAAGTTGCAGCGAGATTTCGTGGACTTCGTCTTGCGACCACTGTGGGCCGCTTGGCTCATGGCCTGCCCGACTCCCATCCGTCGCAGGATCTCGCTCGAGCATTCGTGCCTGGTAAATTCGAGCCAAATGCCACGTCGAGGCACAGTTCAACAAGCAGCCAAAAGCACCGTAAGTCGGAGTAAGCCCGAGACCCGCACATAAAATCTTACTCTTTGCACTCTTTGCAAGTTCTGTCATTGGACCGTTCAAATACGGGGACCTTAAGGGCCTCCTTTGCCGGGACGTTTACAGGGCCACAGTAGCTGTTAGCTACATACCCGCGCTCAGGAGCCGTATGCGCAGCCACGTGAATGCATCTTGAGGGGCAGGGGGAGCTTTTTCTTTTCGACGGTCTGGAGCTTGAGCATAGTACAGGACACAGGACAAGGTGAAGAGGTTTAGGCAGGGTAAGAGGAGGTGTTCCTTCTATCGAGGCGAGCAAGCGGTTGGCACCATCAGATAGTCTGAAACGCGTGACACGTCGATTTCTCTTTCATCTGGCATCGGATTCTTGTTCATTTGTTCAGACGGGCAGCCCAGTTCCTCAGTCAATGACAGCTTTTGTTGGAGAGGAGTATGGGCCCCCGGAGTTCTTAGCATGTAGCAAGACATTGGCACCAGCACCAGCCATGCGTGGTACTTCATGAGAATTCCTTCCATAGAAGAATAAAGTTGAATAAAGAGCCTGCTGTAGGTTTGGTTACCCTTCTTTGCACAGAATAGCACAGAACGGCATAGTCTTGAAGTGAAGGCTGGAGCCCTGTCTGGATCCGTGCCTGACAAATCTGATCAAGTGCCTGGGCTGAAAATCGCTTCACGTGGGCTTTGTCTGCGGAAGTAGCTTTCGAGAACATCGCAGCGTTCACTCCTTGCCGAGGAATCGGACCCTCTACGAAGTGCCCGGTGCTTGGACAGGGTTTCTTCCGACCATTTGACCACAACAGCCTCAGAGCAAGCCTGGCTGCCGCTGTTTGCATTTCTTGGAGTGTGACCACCACGCGCTCCACCACGCGCTCCCTGTGCTCCCTGCCCCACCCCCGCCCCTGTCCCCGCCCAAAAAACATGGTCCATGCGCCCCCCCCCTATGGTGCAGTTGGGCAGTTGGGCGGTTGAGGTGTTGGTTTGGATTTAGGGTTGGTGGTTTACCACCCCCCCCCCCCCGCCTCCCAGAGGGAGGGCTGGATCTGCCACATCCGACCATAGCTAGACATCAAACCAGGAATTGTTTCGAGCCTGTTGATATGTTAGATTTGGCGGCAAGGCGGAGGATCTATGGCTCTGACCAGATGGACTCAATGGCAGACTCTGCCCCTTCACTCAAAAGCACTTCAAGCATTTTCCTACACAACACTGTGCTCAATTGCTCGCGATGCATCTTGAATTTGGGAGTGTGTGCCCTTGGGCACCCCAAGAGCGAAAGCCTCTCAGGACCTGGACCTCCTTCTGCCGGGCATGGCTCGTGGCGAGCCTCGGGGTGAAGCGCTGCCGCAGCTGACGCCCCGTACGGTTGCGGCCATCGTGGAGGGCCGCTCCGGGAGCAAGGAGAGCAAATGAGAGATGGAGCCTTATGTTGGGCAAGGAGTGGAGAGCCTTGCAAAGCGTCTTGAATGGCAGAGCCCTGAATCTTGGCTTTTTCCCGCGCCAAAGGCGGGCGGGTCTGCGCCGCTCTCGCTTCCTGCTGTAGGTGGCAAGGAAGCCCCGCCAAGATGCAGAGGCCTTGTCACAAGAGCGTGTAAACTTGTTTTTTAAGCATACGTGTATATTGATGTGAGCACTTCCTTTGGCGAAACAAAGCTTATTTCGCTGGGAGAGTTGCCTTTGAATCTTCATACCATTTGAAGCTTAAACGTGACCTCGAGCAAAGAAACACTCGGGTCCTTGAGGTCCTGACAGCAACACACTCAGAGAGTCCTACAGTCTATCACAGCCCACACCGGATACGCCTGGCACTTTGCCGGGTACTTGGGCGCCATGGAGGCCATGTTTCATTTTCTTGAAAGAGAAAAATCAGAGAATAGTGTTGTGGTCTCACCGTGCGTTGTGCTCGCTACCAAGCATGCGCTCTTTCCGCCCTGCCAATCCGCGGGCGAGCATTACTTTCACGCCGGGAGCGATTTGATGAGCGATCAGGGCCAAATCCCAGGTCTTATCGTTTCACGAAAGTGCATGAACCTCGTGCACTGCCAGTGCTTCATCAGACGAAACCAAAAAGAGGCAGGCAGCGTAGGCTCATCCCTTCCAGGAGCGCAGGAAAGTGTTTAGCTGCCTTCAAGAAACAGAGCAGGAGCCATCCCAACAGTAGGAGCCGACAAGAAGCACAGAAACTCCACTGAAGTGCTCGGAATCCTCTGAAGGCGGCATGGTGAGGCCACGAAGGGCGCCAGTATCCCGGAGAAATATCGTGGCCTTGAAAGGACCGAAGGGCATGTCAGGGCTTATCCATTCTGCTTGGGCGGGAGCGTATGAGAGCGGGGACGGAGTGGAATCCTGCAGTGTGGTGCCCTAGACGGCTTGCCAAGCGGTCGCGATGGGCCACTACAGCCAGTACTATCACTGCAATGTGACCCACCAAGGCCACACCGCTTTTTTCGACTCCGCTTTGGGAGTCCAAGAGCGCACCTGGCCGGTTTGTTCTTGTTTGGGAGGCTCAGCTCTGTGTTTTCAGTCGGCCGCCGCCCACTTGCGAATTCTTCTGAGAGTCTTTGTCAGGGGTCGAAGCATCCCCGCCTCGGCCAAAGGAGAGCGACTTGGGGGAAGGTAGCGTTGCGAAGGGACACAGCTTTTCAGCCGAACATACTGGCTTCGTTTGAAGAACCAGTGCCCTTTATGCATCCAGTTGTGCTACTGGGTGTGTGTGTGTGTGTGACGCATAAAAGGAATTGTCACCTCCAGCACCGGATGCCCCGCTGCCTTGGACTCGGTGGGGAATAGAGACTGTTTGATGATTCAGGTTTGGTTTCTTCATGTTTCTATTCTGTTTTCTGCGAGTGTTCGCCAGAAGTTCAGAGGTCCAAGCTTGGTCAGATCGATCCCTATGGATTCGTCTGAAACAGGCTGCCTGTCTTTCAACCCAGGTCTCGGCGTTTAAATAGGGATGGCAGACCCGTGGACATAGCCTCTAGAGTTCTAGCTACACAGAGCTATGCCCTGAAAGGATCGACAGGGCTAAGCAAGCCCTGGACCATGAGCTTCTGACACTATGTTGGATTGGTGGGCAACTTCCTTGCCTTACGCCTTACTGAGGCCGCTGGAAGTCACGCGCCAACAGGTTGGCCTGTCCGTGGGAGGGCAGAGTCGGAGGGAACCGGTGGGAGTGCGGGGTCTCTGGTGCCACTCTTTGGGATTGGCGTGTTTTTCTTCGTGTGAAGCTTTCTACGAAGCTTTCTGCATAAAGTGCGGAGCTCAAGGTCTTTATATTTCTATCTCGATTTCAGCTCGACTCGCTGTACCCAAACTCGTCTGCGCCTACTTGTTTGGTCCAGAGCGCAGAGCCTGGCCTCAACATCCAGCATCGGCCAAGTTGGAGATGCCATTGTTTGTGTGAGGGCGTCTAGGTAGAATTGGAGAGGGACTTATGGTCATTTCGGTGCTCTTTCGCCAGGTCGCGTATTTCGCCTTTTGCTATGTCGCAAAAAACAAGAAGTAGTTTGGTGAGGGCGTCACATTGAGGATTTGCTTTCCGTGGATCGCCTTTTGAGCGCGTGGGTTCCCTTTGGCAATCAGATGCTTTCTGTTACCTCGGGGCTGGCACCTGGTACTTGAGAACACAAAATCCCGGCCTTGGCACATGCTGTACTGTTGATACTTGTGGGAAGTGTGCATCCATTTACAACTTCATCCTACTATAGATAGGACAATCTGTTGCAAAGCCTTGCTTCAAGGCATATCTTTGCACCTTGGTTTCAGACGCCGCGTGCGCCGGGAGGCTTCTCCCGCAGTCCCTGCCAACCCGTTCGACCTTTCTCCGGTCTCTTGGATGAAATCTCATCGAAATGGCCGTCAGATGTCGGTCAGCCGTAATTAACGCACAAGGCACAGGATCACAGAGTCATGGTCAGTTTGCAAAGCAGGGGGCCCTGGCTGGAACCTAGGGGGGGGGCCTCTTATTGATATGGACGGCCTAGCCGGGCCAAGAGCCGGGCCAACTCCTAGGCTGAGCTGAAACGTGCGACCACCCCGCCGGCCAACACTCCGTGCTGCACCTGGCATTTGACTTTATTTGACTGGCCGGGCCAAGTTCACCGAAGTTACAGAAGTGGTCTGAAGCTCTGTTTTGACAATCATCATGGCTGAGAATTCTGTGATGCTCTGTGCGAGAAGTGGCTCTTCCTTACAACCGCTCAGCTCGAAGCCTTCGTAAGCCTGCTCCTGTCTGAGGCCTCGTGCAGCACTGACCTCGCAGAGGCCCTGTCGATATTCGGAAGGTTGGGAGCGTTTGCGGGGTTAAAGGGCTTGCGGCATGGCACAGCGCCTTGCACTAAAATGAGAAGTCTGTGGAGCCCTTTATGCATGTGTTACGTCATCTTGCCGGTGTCCAACCCCTGGCTTGATTTGACACCTCCAAATCTTCAATATACTTTCAACTTTCAACAATTCTGGAGCGGGATCCAGGTCTTTCATGGGCGGCATTCATCGAAAGCTACACTTCGTGCAGAACCATGATGCGAGTACCGGTGTGGACATGCGAGCGCAATCTGTCCTAATTCCCAATCATTGGCCGTCCAAGAGATGACATCGGTGGAGCAACGCCCAATGACCTGCAGAATTAGATGAGGCCATGCTGGCCTCAACCGGCCCCACCGCCAGCAGCAGGCTCCCACATAGGGGTGGGGGGGGCTTCATGTTTGGGTCCGAGGGCGGGGTTTAACATCCGACAACCTTAGGGCAGGGTCGTCGTTGTAAAGGGTTAGGTTTACCAGATTTGCCTATGTTAAGGGACCCTGCTTTAACGGAGTCCTCCCATGCTCGCTTGCGATCCTCACCTCCAGGTCGCCGGTCCCCACCCCCGCGGGGGCGCAGTCCTGTGGAGGAGGCCTGGGATCTTCCCGTGTCAGTGTCTCGACGCGTCTCCTTGCAGCAAGAACCCGAAACTTTGCCGCTCAGACCTCAGTGACGGATCTGTCGTGACAGTGTCGTGACCTGGAGCGATGGTTGTGACAGCAATTCCATGCATTCAGCTTCTTAGGGTGCTTTTGACGGATCCGTTTGCGCAGCTCGGGCTCTGATGCCTCCACGACTCCATGACTACTGCTCGAATGAGTTTTCGGCAAGTCAAAGTGTGTGCGTGTCCGAGTCTCGCCGATGACGGAAGAGAAAGAGCCGCCCAACGGACGTCACAATGTCAACTAGTGTCAACCCCAAACCTCTTCCTGCTGGCCAGCGATCTGTACCAGTCCAGTGCTGGCCAATGGCTACAGCCGTCCGTTGCCACTGTAGCAATGCTTCCAACAATCAAGAAAGTACGACTGGTTAAGTGACACTCAGTTCCGATGTGATGCGGCCTGCCAATTGGACCAATGTGCGCCTGAGCAGATGCGGCCTCGGGGCAGGACTGGGAACATGCCCACGGTGAAGCCGTTTCACGGAATCCTATGGATCTTCAGACTTGGCTCAGCTAGAACAGTGCAGGGGCCGAGTCTTGGCAGGTGCTGCTTCATAGCATGAAGACGTGACCGGATATGATTGCACAACTATTGCACACTTGCATGAGGAGTCCCAGGCCGACTCCTAGGTCCGGCGAGGAGAGCCCCGAGCAGGCTGATAGCGCCCAAGTCTGCAATCTCAGCACTTGGAGTATGCCAATAGTTCTGAGTATTCTGATACTGAAGACGCAAGTGCCCCGGATCCCGATGCCCTGGAGGGAGCTGCCCTGGCCAGGCCCTGGATGCAGAGAAGGAGAAGAAACGGAAAGGCGACTGTGGCCGAACTGCCGTGGCCACTGTCAGCGCCATGGTTGTCAATACAACATCCTGAAGATCAACTCTTCCCAAGCCCCACTTGACACGCCTTGAGAATAGGGCATACACTGTACACTCCAAAAGCAGGAACGAGCACAATGGTGACAGTCAGCTGAACCTGTGGTCGTAAATTGCCTGGCCAGACCTAGAAGTCGCTCTTTCGCTTCCCTAGGAAGCTGCACAAGTTGGCTTTGGTAGGTAATGGTTAGCAGTGAGCAGCTCGTAGTAGTAGTCGTGGTCACCTGGTCGAGCGTAGTAAGCGCAGTAGATCGGAGTAGTGGTTCGGAGTAGAATCGTTCGTGGTGGTGGTGCCCTCTGCTTGCACGCTAGTAACGCTAGTACCCCTCCACCACCACCACTGCTGCGAGAGCAAACCGAGTCCCCAGCGCATCGTAGTAGTCGTAAATCTTGCAATCGTCGCAGTGGATAGAAGCAGTACCAGTAGCAGTCCTAAATGACAAATTCCTTCGGGAAACTCCAAATAAAAAATGTCCTTATGCTTGCAGCTTGTTGAGTGAGGCCTGGGGTTGCTCGGCCTGAGTCTGTGCACCGTGGCCGCGGCACGAATCCATGGCCACCTGCAGGCGATTCCGTGCTGCCGCCATGGTCTTTCAGAACATGCTCAGAAGGCTTATAAGTATGCATACTTTTTTTGACATGCTTGGCAACACGAATGCGCCCATAGAGTCCATCGCAGATGAACGCTTCTTCGGCGCACTGCCCCAGTAGAGACAGAAGCCAACTCCGCGCAGGGAAGTGGCGGAGCAGGTGGAGCCCGGGATCTGGGACTGGACATGATGGACATGGACATGGAATGCCACAAAAGCCTCTGTGCCTAGGAACGATACACCAACAGGCTGTTTCTTAAAGATGCGCCACTAACCCGACAAGACTTGTCCCTGTTGTGAGGGAGCCCTGAGACCCATGAGTTCGTTGGCGCATAAGCTAGCCTAGGGCCCTTGGACCTGGGGCTCGAAAGGCCCCAGTTAACCTGACATGCTGGACCCTGGCCACTACGTGGCGTGACATGGCGCGTTCGCATTGATTCTATTGTAGAAAAGCGGATGGAGTGCCTGACCATGCTGAACTGTGACTCTGCAAAACATGCTGCATGTCTGCATACATATTCTAACTTTGCAGGATGCAGATCGCGGTTCATCAAGGTTCTGCAAAGCTAGGGGCTTTCGGAGCTTTCTGGCAGGGGGCATGTACAAGCCAAGAGCCATGCTTTAATCATGCCAAAGCAAACATTGCGAACGAGAGGCACGGCATGGCCGTGGTCATCTCACCGCAAGGCACACGCTGGGCTGAAAAATGCAGGCTTTCAGTCCCAGTGTATTGGGTAGCTGTACGTAGTATATGATGGTGTATGTAGGTGCACGTATGCTCTTGGGCTGGTTTACGGTGTCTTGGGAAGTGGGCAAGATGGCCGGCTGGCTGGGCAGTATGTTGTGAGGCGCATCCTGTATACTTGGATCGCTCCACAGTTTTTGTAGCTGTGCGAACCGCGCCCCGCGGCCGCGCCAATTCGCGCTCTCGCCTAGGCTTAGGTCCCGAGCACGTTCCATTCTGGAAACGTGCTCCCGCCACGGTCCCTGGCATTTTTCTGAGGCTTGCATGTCGTGAAAACGTCGCAAGTGCGTCTCTAGTCTAAGGCGTGAAGAACTGTCGTCGCTTTGGACTATGGTCTTGGCGGGCTTTTCGAGTGGTCTTGCAGCCATGATGTGCTACAGTATTGGGGGATTCTTACGTGTATATGTGTATACATGTGTGTGCGTAAGCTCTTCTTTTCATGTAAGACACGCCGCCGCGACGGGGCCCAGTTCAGAAGCAGGTGTCGAAGTCGAAGACTGGCTTGCGAGATCATATCCTCCAGCGGAACCCAGGAGACCTGCAGGGATGCTCTTAAACCCACGGTGCATCTGACTCGGCTAGCCCAAGAGTTTCATTGCACATAGCTAGATTGCTAGATGCTGCGAGCAGTGAGGGAGGCTTGGGCATTCCATTGCACAGGATCGGAGCAACCATCACTACCACACGATCATTTGAGAGGCCTCGCGGCTGGTCATAGTCAGACCCGGTACGGTGGTGCTTTATGGCACAGTTGCATGGTGTGGGCGCTTGAGCCGTAGAATCTCCGAGAGTCCTCTATAGATCGTGCGGATTCGCGAGCAGGCTGGGCTGAGGAGGGCCCGCCAAGCAGCGCCACGGCAGCGTCGTCTGAGGCATCCTGGCTGCCGCAGTGGCGAGAGTCGCCGCCGGCTCCCCACTCCTCGGCAGCGCGCTGGAATCTGATCCCACGACCACAGCGCTTGCAGGCCGCTTTTGTCCTGCCAGTCGCATCTTGTGTCTACATCAGCGCACCATTTGATAATGGCCCCTTCTGCACATATAATGTTGCAGCACTCTGCAAAAGAATGTTTAATGTTTCTGCAACCAAAAGTGTCATGCTGTGTGCGAATGTCCAAAACACGGCTCCTTCAGTGTTTTTGCTATCATGTTCATATCCAGGAAAGGGTTTTGAGTTCGTCAGCCCTAAAACCCTGACCATGCGCAACAGACACGTCCAAAAATAGAGTCTCAGTGTTTCCAAATCATAACCAGAAAACCCATAACATTGCAGCGCGGAACCTGGTGTCATCGCGTAGGCACGGTACTTCCCTCATGCGTGTCTCTAAACCCTTGTGCGTTGAATTCTTGGTGAGGAAGTTTATCAACTTGTGTCTTGGTAGGCCATCCAACTTGCTGGGTTTGAGCCGTTGAGCCGTCGGGTGTTTTTTGTTTTTATCGGGATGTCGGTATTCATGAAATCATGGGCTTGATGCGTTCATTTTCACAACGAGCCGCACTACTCGTGTGGAAGCACGTGTGTTTGGGGATTGGGTGAAGAAAGCGGTGTACGTGATGCCAGTTCCCACCACGTGATGTGACTTCTCTCCTCACAACTGTACTTGGGTAGATGTGACTTTAATGTACTGTATAAAGCCATTATAAAGCCCACTGAAGCACTAGGGTTACCAGCTCGAAGTTTTCTGCTTCATGCTGGGCCTTCATGGTAGTGAGTTTTGTGAGTTTTGTGACTGGCACTCTTCACTGCTGGAGCTCCCGACTCGGTGTGTGACGGCTACTTGGTGCTCTCTGTCGTGTGCTCGTAGGTCCTTTGAAGAGCTGTTTGCGCTGCCTTATCGCACCAACCCCTGATCTTCTGGTAGCTGCTGACCTTTCAGGATCAGCTTGACCAGATCAGATTCGAATTCAAAGCCGATGGTGTGAGATAGCCGCGCAACAAGACTCGTGTGATTCTGATACTTGAAACGAGTAGTAAGATGAAGTCTGAAAGTGACTGCGATCGCACAGTACTGTCGCGCCACGTCAAAAACAAAGTCCGGTGAATGGGAAATCAGGAACATGGGAACATGTCGCCTCGGAAAGGATTATTTTCTGCACTTCATGCAGCATGGCTGAAAGCAAGTGTGCTTGAGCGCAACCTTCCCTCTCAGCCGGCATCTGCTCGTAACGGGAGGCCGTTGCTGGAGGGTGAATTGCAACCACACGAAAAATGCCCCGCAATGATGGTAGCGTACTTGCGGCTTCCTTCAGTCTTTGACCAAACGGTCCGCTACGATTCCGATGCCGATGCTGTGCGTACTGAGCAATCACAACCATGTGAAAATGCCATCTCGAAGCAAACTTTAGTTCCGCATTCGGCGACCAATGGCTTTGGTCTGTGTACACCAGAAGCAGAAACGCACTACTTTACTTCCAGCACGTCAGAGTACCAAGTGAGGCTGGACTTTGAATCATGCAGGACTCAAAGAAAACTAGCTCCCAGTAGCTGCGCGATACTTGCGAGCCGAGATAACCTTGCCTCGCTCAAATGCTCTACTGAACTCTCACCAAGCTATCGTGGAAAAGGCCTAGTGCAGGGCCTTCGTCACAAGATTCACCCAGGCCCAGCAACATGTAGTGCTGCCTTCTAGTAACAACTACAACAAGATATGGCAGGTATTGCATTCTCACGCTCAGCCCGGGCCGCTGAAGAGCACAAACGTGTCTCTGAATCTGGGATGGCAATTGATGGTGTTTCTTATGTACTTGAAGTCGGGAGCTTCAAGGGTCAAAGTCAACGGTTCCAGCTGCTTGGCGAGATTTCACGCGCCAAGGGAGCCAGTCTGACTAAGTCAGGACACCATTCTCCCAGCTTGATGTTCAAACTGTAAACAGGTGGTGGGCGACGAAGCAGCACGTGATACCGGCAGCTGGAAGCCAAGAAAGGCAGGCGACGAGAGTGTGCTTGCATGAGCATTGCACGAGTCGCACTTGTTTTGCACATGTGCTTTGCGTTTGTAGATGTTTGCAGCATTGCCTCATGTCACGACCTCATCACATCGAGGGCTTCATGTCTAATGATTTTAATGCGCAAACAGCGGTGTTTGGGTATGTGTACTTCAAGCTACTATAAGCGGTGGACTGCACAGGGATGCTCAACTTTGCTCAACACAGCGGAATCAAAAGCTCGGAAGCACAGCTAAACCCTGCATCCCAGGGCAGCATTGATTGCCTTCCGAGACCTCCTCGGTGTGTCGCCGGCACCCTTGGGCACTGTTCCAGCCCCTTTGGGCTCTGTGACGGTGCCTTGGCAGAATCCGGGGCTTTTGTTGCTTCCCCCGAGGCAGGGTATGTGGCCTTGGCCCCTCTGATGACCTTGATGTGGCTGTAGGCAAAATGTGAAATCCCCATTTCCTATGCCCCAAACTGTCCAAGAAAAATCAGCGGCCGCTACAAGTAGCGGCTAGAAAGCCTTGCACCGGCCTTTGTCTTAATCAGTGCTGCGAACACATCTCAACCCGACCCTGAAATTATCGGGGCTGGGCTTCCGTCAGGTCTCGATCAGAAGCAGCCTTCGCTCGGCACGAGAATCCTGTGCAGAGCTTGTTGGCTACAAGCTTGCGTAACTTGGCCCGATTTCTTTGTTTGGGTTCTCCTGGAATTGCGGGACACTGGTTGCTATAGGGCCCTTTTTGGACCACTTCAGTCTGCAAGGAACAGTCACGTCAGTACCATCAACCCTTAACCCATTGAAGACTTTTGGGCAAATGGCCTTGCAGATCTCGCTCTCTCTCTCTCTCTCCCTCCCTCTCTCTCTCTCTCTCCCTCTTTTTCCCTTTTGTTCCTCTATCTCTCTTTTTTCATCCTCGTGAGGGACTACATTGGCCTGGAGCTGGAAGAGGACAATTTGCTCTGGGGATCGGCATCAGCTTGTTGAAGCTGCTATCTCGGCTGGGCTGTGCTATTCCGACGACTAGCACTTCTGAAGGGGCCCCCTATCTACGAAATAAGTGCTTCTTGGAGGGAAGCAAAAGAACTAAATGACATTGTTTGAGAATCTGCGGTTGGAGTGTTTACCTGGCAAGACAGAGCTTTGGCATTTGTTTAAAAAGATCTTTGGCTCTCGAAATAAGCGCTAGCTGCAGGTGTTGGGCAGATGAAGGATAGCTACAAGAACTCATCACTTCGTCTTGGGGAACGGGGGCCCAACAGGTACAATCAAACAGTCGGCCTTCATCTCTCCTTCCAGTCGCGTGGATAGCCGGTCGTACATCTCGTTGGAACTGAGCCGGCTCTGGGGGGCTAAAAGCTGATTTGAAGTCTCGTTTGGGGCGGCACGGCCCCATGTTGCAGCAAGCCGCCGATGGCCCTAGTCACCGAATCCTGCCATTGCTTGCGCCGCTCAGCTGAGCTCATGGGTGCCTAAGCTGCCTCGTTTTGCAATGTTGCTCGGTCCTGAAAAAGGTCATGAGCCGCGTGTATGTGCCCAGCATAGCAACCCGAGAGCGGAGACGAATTTCAGCTTCCTCTTTTAACGATTGCCTCGAGGAGAGAGACGAGAACGCTTCACATTTGGATCTGCTCATTCTTCTGCCACACCGACCAGAGCACTTCAATCAGATTCAACATGCACAAATGGAACTCGATGCTTCAAAACTATGCCATGTTGGAGTCTCAATGAGCTCCATCAGGACTAAACCATGTTAGTAAGAAGTCGTAGTTTCGGCCCTTTGGCTCTTCGCTGAGTCTTGTGGGGTACCCATACACACCCTTGCCAACCGAACCTTGGGTCCTTCCAGCTCACGTGGGTTGGAGTCGTTCCGCTTAAGTGGGGGGTGGAGGGGAGCTCTGGAGCTTCGAAAGAGCAGTTTGCCTTGGTGCCGCCTCGGAAGCTATTTTTTCACCCAACTCGCCAAGGCCAGGGCAAGTACTGAAGCCTCGAGAACTGAGGTACATGGCTCAGGAAATCGCCTCCACCTAGCATACTAACTAAAAACGAAGAAAAACTCAAACTTTTCCATCAGATGAAAAGCAAAGAGCTTGCCCTAAAAAGGCCACGGTCACCTGGAAACCTGGCCCCTGTTCCCCGGTCCGACTTCAGGACTGCCACACCACAGAGTGGCACTTCGTCCTCCGATGGCGCGGGCGCACCGCAGTTTGTGCAACAAGGCTCTCGGAAACGCACTTGTGGATTCAGGAACAGAATGCCTGCATGGGAGGTTCCCAATTTGATGGCTTGAAGCCTCCCTGCGGAAATGTCAGATATCCAATCTGCTTTGCCATGAGCTCAGGCCGGAAGGCGCCTTCCGGTTCGCGTTCAGTACGTTCAGACAGATGCATGTCGAAGGATTCGAAGGCCACCAGAGCTCTTAAGGGACATGTCATGTCGCACACTTGGGGACTTGGGGGGACGTTTCATCGCAATAGCATCACTGAATACATTGCACTGAAGATACTGAAGCAAACCCCTAGACTCCTAGACCCAATTGACTTGTGAGACTTGCCGCAAGTGAGCCTGCTCGAAACAGCTAAGCGGGCTCACGTACGCATCCGCTTTGGGACAGATGCCCCCCCTCCCCCTTCCACACTCGATGGCTCATTGGAGGAGCAAAGTTCTCCTCTGATGCAAGTGCACCCAATTTTCTCTTGGAGGACGCACTGCTGGAGGGAAACTTCTGTTTCGAGCAAGTTTAGTTGATGTAAATGTTGCAAAAGGGTTTCTAGAAGAGTAGAGGGAACTCGTGTCTTTGTATCGTCCTTGTGCGGCCTGGGCTTTGCAGAGTACTTCAGCCATAAAGAAGGTGGAGAAGTAGGCGGACATAGAGGTCTTGAGAGTGCCAACAACACAGCTGTATCATTGCAGGATTGGCCACGCCACTGCTGGCGAGGGCTGCACCTCGACGTGGTGCGGCACTGGATGCCCGTACCCTTCGTGAAGCCCCTTGGCACGTAGCACATGAAAGGCTAGCTGCTGCAACATGCTCTTCCCTGCTGATTCTGAGACACAGCCATTGCCACCCTCGCAACGTCGTCTAGCGTAAGACGCCAGTTCTGAACATACATCCATACAAGCCCAGGCTGTACATCAAGGCGATGGCAACCTACAAGGCCGAAGTGTAGCCGGCAGGGCCAAGGCCATGGTTAGGTTTGCTGGGCATAACTGGGCACCCTCAGCTTTGTGGCCAAACCTCCCCAGTGGACCAGCCCGGACAAAGAGAACCCAGCTATTTTGTTGGCAGCTCTGGCGAGAGGCCAATGTTTTCCACTGGCATCTCACAGATGACCAAGCTTGGAGACTGCAGCCTGTTCGCACACTATGTGAGACTGTCCTCTTAAGGTGGTCCTGGAGATCAAATTGTGGCTTGAGTGCGGGGTCTTTGAGCATAGCGGAACTTTCTGAGCTTTGCTTCATGTCAGGGTCTGCATTCCTTCGCTGGATCCAACTGACTACAGATGTCATCGCAGACTTTGGGCTGGTGGGAGAGGAGGAACCACCTCGAGAAAGCGCAGCCTAGCAAAGGAAACGTGTTCAGGGCATTTCGGGACGTAAATGCTTGCTTCAGGAACGCAGATCATTTGCCTCAACTCCACACACGTTAACGCTACAGTCAGTGCCCGAAGCCATACCAGGAACAGTTTCTTATGATGCTTGAAATCAGTGCGGGGAGAACAAGACGAAGTGGACAACAAACAGCGTCTCCCGGCTGTTGCTGCCATTTTCCGGGCCCACCTGCTCTCAAAGCGGCAGCTCGCGGGATATGATTCCCTCTTCGAAACTAGTACGCAGGAATGTTTAAGTGCTTTGTTCTTCTACTACTTGGGAAAACCACTGATTGCCAGAAGTTCTTGAAGTGCCGCTCTCCAAGAAATGCCATTCTTGGCACATCAGGCTCATACCTGCGTTTGGGCATGTTTGAGCATCGTCTACTTGGGACCCAAGTTTTGTTAAGACCCCTGCAAAACAGTCATAATCACGCATCTAGTTGCGGGAAGGCCTCCTTTTCGGTCTCCCATTGTATGTTTTCAGGGGTTGTGATCTCTCACTGCCCGAAATGCTGTTTCAACCTTTGCCCTCTCAAAGTCACCATTTTTTTGTTGGCCAGAAACTTCGAACCACCAGGCGAACTTTACAAGACGTTGGAGAACCTTCCATCTAAGCAGTCCGGATATCAAACGAGAATCCAGCGTCCTGGGTGACTTGCGAGCAGCAAACCAGAGTGAACGCAGTTTCTGTCATGATTCCGCATGGTGTGTCTGTGCCGCGATTCGACAATTCCCTCCACGTGGACACTGAAGTATGTAGCACGCGCAGGGTGTAGCACGTGCAGGGTCAAGAAATCCAGTATCCTAACGTGGCTTGTGCTCTGGAGTTCCTCCAGTGGCTATTCACTGCGTCGCCCAATCAATTAGCATGGAGCTTGGGGAGGTCAGAGTCAGAGTCGCTTGCCGAGGTATCTTCCTAGCCGACCAAAGCTTGTCGAAGCACAAAGAGCGACGCTTCCATCCGCAAGTCAGCCCAAAGCAGCTACAAGCAGGCTTTTCAGGCTCCTGCGACAGGTCAATTTGTTTGGATCACATTGTGCCTGGGGTTTGCACAGAGATGGTATCTGTTCGGCAATCTACGCTACCTATAGTCTCAGCTACGGGTGAGTGGTGAGTGCCCGCATTGGGTATGGTCCCAAGTTCTGAGGGTGGTCTCTCAAGGCACCAACTGCCAAGAACAGGTCCGATGCGAGTCAAGAAACAGAATGCGGTGTTTAGGGAGTCCCTCGCAAAGGTCACTGGAGGCTCAAAGGGTCCATATAGGGTTCCATAGGCTGTGAGAGGTCTCTGTAGGGGTGTCAGCGTGCCGCACTTGTGCCAAAAATTGGAAAGCTCGATGATGCTCTTTGGCCCCAGGACCACGGCGAATTCATGGTTGCTTCAGTGTAAAGCTATTACTAGTTACAATTACTACAACGCCCTTATTGCGAGACGCTCTTAAGCCTTTGTTGTGTATTTACTCTTGCCCGTCTTTCAGTATGGCTACTTTCGGATCGCTTTTGGGTTCCTGGCTTGACCTTTGGTTGTGCAGCCTCTGGCTGATAGACGCGCCGATGCTTTGCAACCCGAAACCCCAAGACCTTGAAGCCTTACTGGGTGCTCGTTGAATCCTGACCAGCTGCTCTCCGCCCCCCCCCAATTTTCCCCTGGGTCAGCACAAGATGACGCCCCAACTTCCCCAAGAAGCCACCGGCTCAGGACGTCTCCAGAGTTTTACAGTCAGGACGACGTGAGAGAGGCCATCACGGGGCAAGGAATGTCAGGGTTCATTGGCAAAGGCAGCAAACCCTCAAAGCATTGCAAAGCACGAGGGTGCCTAATGCATACAAAGACGACCATGTGACACGAGACTCTTTCGCGGCAGCATGGCAGTTTATCTGCGTGCGCACCGTGCAAAAACTTCTGTCTTGGTGTTCTTTGATTCTGAAGCATAAAAGAATATACGAAACTCTACACGCTCAAGGTCCGCGACAGCACTCCCCAAGGTCCGCGAAAGGTACTGAACAACATGCGCTGCGGCATTCTGCAACCACAACTGGCTTGATCTCACTTGGGCCTGCGTTCACACTACCAGTATCTCTGACTGGAGAAATCAGAAAGATTCGCTGAAAGAATGGAGGGCTGGCATGTGTAGGCCTCGCCTGCTTCGTACTTGCCCATGTCCGGACTTTCCTTTGCTGCTCAACATTTCGGGTGGAGAGCGGCATGGAACTTGCTGACGCCAGGGATCTGTACGCTGCAGATCCAGGCATTCAAGAGAACACCTCTGTTCTTAGCCCCCTCTAGAGAAGCTGATGCTATCAACCTTGATATGTTACGTTCCTCCTGATCTCCTCTGCATGTTGGCGTACAAGCCAATCTAGCCGTGGACGCTCGTCAGGCATAGATGGCTGCTTACCTCTTGTGTAAGCCCCGAGTTCAACAAACCTGCCAGGCTGCTTAAATTTGTGAACTGGTGAGTTTCGCGAGCGCGGAGGTGAACTAGGGAAAATCATGGTAAAGTATGTCTACACAGTTTTTCCGTCACCCATGGCCTCACTTGAGGGAAGGGTCGAGTGACAGCGTACAACAGCGAGAGTGCAATGTTCGACAGGACCTGTGCAAAGATTCAACGGCATGCCCTGCACGAAGGACACCTTCCCTTCCACCATCTTTGGGAGCCCCCCAAGCCCTCCGGCAAAAGTTCGGGCTCATTGGCCACCCCGCGCAAGCAGCCATGAGCGCACGGGCCGGACGGAAGTGTGTCCACGATCACGGAGCGAGCACAGAGGCTGGTAGTGAGGCCACAAAACATCCATTCAACCCTGATAGCCGAAGCCCAGAGTGAGTGCCCAATGCTTATTGTGTTTCGGAGAAGTCTTCACTTGCAAGCGAACCAATACAACTCTCAGATAAGAACATTGACCCACACACTGCAAGAGCCACTCTGGTACCTGTGCAGCACATCGCCGACATGTGTGCGGACGGGATGACGAACGCAGGCGTTGTGGAATGGGAAGATCTAGAATCGCATCAAGAAACGTGAGATGCAAATTAAGCCCGGCAACATGGTCGGGCGTAGGCAAATTCAAAACTACCAATCCACAGGTTTCATGAAAGGAGCTGTAAGTTCACATTCTCGTGTTGTTCGCCACTTGACTTAATTTCGTGAGGGGGTGCGCTCGCCCCTGACAGACATCGCGGCAAGACATGTCAAAGCAAGTGTTGTACGGGATTGGTCGCGCATGGTCCGCGCAAGCGCCCCCGAAGGGCTGAAATTGGGGACAGTATAAACCATGTGGAGTTGAAACTCTGCATGCCTTTGTACACCATTGCACGCCTTAGCTAGCTGAATGGCTCTTCAGGTGGTGGAGTTTGCCACGAACCTCTTCGTCACAGTTGTCCCCGTGATAGAAATGCCGGCCCATGTCATTGCGGCGCTGTCGGTCTACCCCGAGCCCGGGACTGAGACTTGAAGCATGCTTTAACTTGAGCTCACTGATGGCTCTCTGGTACATCCTTGAGCCACAGTCACAGACCTACCACCAGGCACATCCCCGAGCAAGGTAAAAACAAATGTGATTGCTTAACATTTGCCACAGCTGTCTAGCCTTGGATGTGAAAGAGCAACAGCACATGCATCAAGTGCTCTGTGGCACCATGCCCGAGTGCCATGCTGGGCGCAAGGCTCGCTTGCCATGCGGGCCCCTTCGAAGTGCCAGTGACGCGGGAGCGCATCTACAAGGACCCAAGTTTGCCTCGGAGTTGGATTGGAATCGTTGGGTGTCATTCCGCCAAAAGAATCCAGATCGCGGGGCTGGTCTTCACTATCAGTAGACCTCCGAGTCGACCCCCGAAGCTGCAGGGGTCAGGGCCGTGGTAGCCAAACCACCCCGTCGGAATGTAGAAATAGGAAGTAACCGTTAACGTCGCTGAGGGTAGTAGAACCTTTGTCTTCTCAGAAACGGTTGCCCCCCCCCCTCCCCACCCGCAGGGAAACTGCACAAGCACGACCCGAACGATCTTGTGACTCCAGGAAGTCTTGTGTGTTGGCAAGGCAGGGCAGCTGCTTTGCTTTGCGGGGAGAGGTGGCCTCAAGCACTGAACGCAACACCACAGACTCCAAAGCTTCTCCAAGGCTTCATCAAAGGCTTCTTGTCTTGACTCGGTAAGCTTCTGAAACTCGAAGACCAGAGCCGTGTCCTAAAGCAGGCCTCCACCCTGCTGTTCGCTGCGGACGTCCTCAAAGATGTTGCGGCCATGTTTCCAAGCAGGCCCGGCTTGGTGAGACTCGTCGCATGCACATCCTGCACTCTCACATCCCAGACACCACCTGCAAGGCGCTTTTCAGCCTTAAGCGAACTTTGAATCGACCGCAGAAAAGTCGGCTGACGGATCATCATGTGCTTGAAGATGCTGTGCAGGTATGTGCACGTTGGTGGCGACGAGGCAAGGTTCGAAATATGGCAGGAAAGCGAACACGTCAGGCAGGGGAGCGCCGCATGTGCTTGCGGAGGATGGTTCGCGGTTTCAAGGGCTTCGGGTACGTTGAATGAATCTCCACAGGGATCTGGGAGGGTGTGCATATACAGAGAATCTGTCAGGGTTCAAGAAATGCTAACAAAGCGACCAGACGACTCGGTATCGAGCTGTTCAGCCATTGAACCCATGGTGAGTCAAAGTCTCCCGGGAATGCAGAGCCAAGGATTGCTTAAGGATTGTAAATGCCAGCGTCCCGATTCTAAGCCCACAAAGAATGAGGGCTTGGGTGGGGCCGTTAGGATGGACGAAAGCTTGAAGTGGTTGCGAGAAAAAAGCTAAAAGCCAGAAAGCCACAGCTTGGCCAGGGCCTTCGCGGGTCTTGCAGGGCTTCGCAACCTGGGACCAGATGTTATGGAGGCCTCGGTTCGTATACGAACCAGAGTTCTGTCAGAGAGCGGGTTTGCCTCTTCAGGTTCGGAGTGTTTCCTCGGAGGGCAGATTAAGGCAAAGCAGTCGCATGCTGCTCCAATTTCTCGAGCCCGATAGAGCCGAAGCTGCGGGTGTGAGGCCTGGTTCTGCGCAGTGGGGAAAATCCTGAAGGACTGGTGACTTGTGAGCCGACTTGTGTTCTATTGTGACACTTCGGAGCATTTCAGAGCATTTCGGAGCCGATTGGACTTCTAACGGTACTCTCGAATCGCTGGCGGTGAGCTTGGTGTCGCCACTATGTCTTTGTGGCTTCTTTCGTTTCGCGATATGTTTCAGTCATGTGTTCTTCATTGGATCACATCCGCAAATCGAGGCTTCTCCGTGTATCAGAGTCTGTCAGCGAGTCTATCAGAGTCAATCAGGTTCTTTCTTGATGGTTCTTGACTTGGGCCGGCAGGAGCTTGGAAAGCAGCCCATCATGCGACATGGTGAAACT